GACTTGGAATAGATTAAAATGAAGTTTAGGGAGATAATTCTCACCTTGTGCATGGTTCTCTTTTCTCTACCTGCCCATTTTCAGCAATTTGATCTGCCACTTATGTGTGTTACATGTCGGTCAGATTTTCTGATGGTCATATAGCTTGATATTGCATGATATAATCAAAATAAAAAAATCTGTGCAATCTGAAATGCTGGATTGAATTTAGTCTGAAAAATTTGCAAAGGAACAAAATAGAAAATATCTCATTTGAGCTTCAGAACATGCTTATTTAGCTAGATTAGATGTAAAGAAGATTAACAACATTTTAAATGAGTGTAACTCAGTACCAAGTAAAATTTCCAAGCAGTAGTAAAATATGGCTAATGAAGGAGCATCTATGGTTCTTAGTTTCATTAATGTCATTATAATTGGCAAGAGTAGGAGAGGTATATTGCCTTTTCATTCAGCAAAAGATATATTTTTTGAGTTGAGTGCCAACTATATTCTAGGCAGACACCCCCCCCCCCCCCGGTTCTTGTATTTAATTCTGTACTTAGTGTCACTGAGCAATGGGACCAGATTGACAGTGGTGTGAAAATTTGCAGTGATGGCGATCTTCAGATAACTTGAAGGTCTGTTACTTATGGAGAACAATTGTACTTCATTTTAGTTTTAAGGATAGACATTGGACAAGTGGTAGGTGATATGTAGAGAAAAATTTGGGACCATTAGAAGAAAGACTTTTGCTGTGTCAGAATACCATTTAACTGTGAAAGGATTTGTGTCTTGAGCTAAAAGTTTCATATCTCTAAGTGCATATTGTAAAAGGCATTTAAACTTTAGGTAGGTAGTTGGATAGACAAAATGACTTGTGCTGGCCTTCCCTTCAGGAGCATTAGACTTTTTTTTTTGCAGTTTTTGGCCAGGGTTAGGTTTGAATCCACCACCTCCAATATATGGGACCAGCGCCCTACTCCTTTGAGCCACAGGCGCCGCCCGAGTGTTAGACTTTTAATGATTCTTCACTACTCAGTTGAGAAGAAAAGAAATTCAGAAAGATTGCCAGCAGTTTGGGAAACTCATTCATACATTTCCCTTAATATTGTATGATTTACTGGCATACCTGCCCCTCTTAGAATCTGAATATCTTGCACCATTATTAAATCTATGCAATTTCAGTTGAATGGCTAAGAAGTATAAAGAAGAGAATCCATCTATTTTTAATTTTTTGCATTGCTAGCCATTATAGCTCCTTTAAACCTTCTGTAGATTAATTAGAGTCTCTGCTGGTGTATGTGTGTGTTTGTGTGTGCTGTACTTTTTAAAGGATAGAACAAGTTTTAGATCACTTGTCCTTGTAAAACTATAAATGCAGTGAACTTGAGTAAAAGTAGGTCTGTAAAATGTTATGTCAAGGATATAAAAGCATATAAAGTTCTTTATTTTTTTATTTTTATTTTTGGAGATGGTGTCTTACTCTGTCACCCTGGGTAGAGTGTCATGGCATCAT